GGGGGGGGGCCTAACAAGGGTCAAGGTGGGCCATGAGCCGAGGTCGGTCGCGGGAGAGAGGGTGCGTGGAGGAGGTTGAGAGGGGGAGGGGGGGAGAGGGGAGTGCGAGGAGGATGGTTGAACAGGCGGAGGAGTGGAGAGAGGTGGAGAGAGTGGTGGATGGCGACGACGACGAGTGGAGGATTGCGAGTGAGGGAAGAGTGAGCGGTGGTGAGGCGGAGCAGCGAGATCGGCGCAAGCGGCCAAATGATGGCCTTAGGTCTTGCTAATATCCCTAATATCACTGATATCACTAATAATGAGAATTAGTTGTTGATTTGACGAGATACGTTATACCTCGGATAAATATGCAAATGCCGGCTGGCAATGCAGCCTCCGAGTAGCCGGTGCGCGCTGTATCTACCTGCCGCTCGCCTCGCCTCTTGCGGCCTCCGCTCCTCGGCCGTCGCCCAATCGCCCTCGTCACATTTGGTGCGAGTTCTCTCTTGTTCTTGTTCCTCGCCGTCTCCCCCCTCCTCGCTCCTCGCTTCCTGGCAAGCTGGCACCGGTATCCAGGGCGTACGACGTCCAGGGCTGCATCCGAGCGGCACAAGGTAAAACAGCCAAGGCCATTTTGTCAACAAGACCTCGAGCCTCCTCACGCCTTGCGCTCTTGTGACTCCCCCTCAAGCTCTCAAACACAGACCATCCCAACCTTGGCAGGCATCCTCGGCCCTCGGCCCTCGGCCTCCTTGCGTCAGCCCGCAATGTCGCCGTGTCATTATTGTTACAGCAAGTTCGGACGGAACCAGCTTTCGAAGCCTCCGGTCTCCGGTCTCAGAAGCCAGATGCATGCTCTTATGGACATATGCTGGCTAGCGCTCTCAATTCAGATCTGACCACGCTAACTGTGAGCATCCGCCGCAGAAGCAAGCATACAGCGCCAGCACTATGAAAGAACGGTGCACGGGCGGCTGATCCAAAGGGCTGTGGGCAGACGCCCTCCACCGATTCCAGATCCGCCGGCGTATCTCCGAGCGCCGAGCGGAGACGGGATTATTTTTCCGCGGCGGAACCAAAGTTTCGGCTTCTCCTTCTCCTTCACCCACCATGTCCTTTCACCGTTCTGCCGACAGGCCGCCTGTGCGAGATGCGAAAAAGAAGGCTGGGTAATTGAATACCCTGTTGACGAGAGTGGGATTCGAACCCACGTCCGAAGACTGCGGAAGCTTGAGCTCCTTAACACAGCGCCTTAGACCGCTCGGCCATCTCGCCGATGTTTGAGACAGACTCGGGGTCGCATTGGTGCGCGCGGGGCGCCTCATGATGCTGTTCGAGGTCCGAGGAGGCGCTGAGGAGGCGTGACCTCGACACAGCAATGACGTTCGAGCAGTGCATTGAAAAGTAGGTGTTGGAGGAAGGTTGAGACTCGCGGGGAGAAGATGGCGGTTGAGTGTGGCATTACTCTTCTCGGCCTTCCTTGTCAGTCTTGGTTGGTTATGACATAGCGGTGTGTCCTGCGTCACAAAGGTTGACTGAAACCCTCTGAAAGCTCTGAGGCCGTAGCTCGATTAAGCGGGTATGATGGCATGTTCGTCTTTCAACGATTCGCCCTCCTTCGATACCTGACGGGGCAAGTGGGCATGCACGCCCGACACCAGACAAGACTCCTTCCTCGCCTTAACCCCTGCCCCCGCTCGTTGCAGTACGGGCCCTACACCACCTCTGGTGCGGCATCTCGACTTGTAGGCCCCTTGTGAGTTGTGTGAACAACATATTGTATTGTCGTTATGCACCACTACCAGGGCACGAGTCATTCTCAAGCGAAGTCAGACATGAGCACTCTCTTTCCGTGGCCAGACGCACGTGTCGTGGGCGCGTGCTTTCCATAACATCAATAGCACAAATGTGATTTTTGTCAGATTGTTGTTGTTTGCAAGATCATCATCAACCTCAACCCGGGACAAATCCGCCTACCTGGAAGCGATGCTGAGCAGAGTCATCCCTGTGCACTCAAAGGCCAGCGAAATTGAATACTTGTAGTTGTACATCAAATATTCGTAGCGCTACGTTCTCTCGTTCCTTAAGTTGTCGATGGTCTGGTGTCAGAAGCCTTTCCGCATGAACGTCTCAAACTCACACTGGCCACACTCCATCCAGAAGTGCCTCGCTCATCCCGCCCAAGCAATACCCTCACCCTCCACTACTAGAGCCATCATCCGCTTCACGCGTGCATCTCCTCCTCGTAATTCGACAGTCTGCCATCAGCTCACCCTTACCCCGCCATCCCAGCTCACTCAATCAAGTTCCCGTCCGGATCGCGCACATACACGCTCAACAAGTTACCCCGCGCGCCCGTGCGAGACACAACACCGTCCTCGACGATCTCGATGCCCTCCTTCTCCAGGCGCGTCTTGACGTCCCCCACATCATCGTCGATGAGGAAGCACAGATCCGCAGTGCCCGGGAGTGCGGTTTTTGCGCGCGGCGAGAACTCGTTCCCCGCCTCGTGGAGGTTGATCTTGCTCAGGCCGTAGCGGAGGGCGTGGCGCACGCCGCCGGGCGTGCGGAACGGCTCGTGCCGCATCCCGAGGCGTTCGTACCACTTGATTGTGGTCGGGATTGAGCGGACCGTGAGGACCAGGTGATCGAGCGCCGCGATGGATGCGAGACGGGGGAGGGGCATGGAGGCGAGTTGAGAGGAGGGTGGGAAGTCACGAGCGAGAGGCTCAGTTGCGCTGGAAGTGGAGTGGTGGAGGCGGGGCACCCAGAGTTTCCGGCGGCAAATGATATTGGACATATCTTAACAGTCCTAATGGGCGCCCGAAATTACATGGCGGCCGGGACTCGCTTGTGCCTGCCCACGTGAGCGACAACTTCTCTTCATCACTTCTCCAATTGCCACCTACCCACCATGACCATCTGCGCCGGCTGCCAGGTCAAGGAGGCCTCGCGCCTCGAGTGCCCCAACTGCAAGAAGTGCGGCGCGCGCGTGCGTGAGCTGACGACAGGCTGGGGATCAACGGCAGCTTTTTCTGCGACCAGGACTGCTTCAAGAAGAATTGGGTGAGTGGCCGCTGAGCGAGCGCGGCTGACGGAAGGGAACGCACAAGATCGTGCACAACATTGTCAAGATGAGCGTGGACGCGGAGAGCGACAGTGCGTTTCCCGCACGCTCACAGCTGCGCTGACACTCAGAGACGTCGACCCTCCCCGCCAACATGCGCAACTACCCGTTCACTGGCACGATGCGGCCGGTGTACCCTCTCTCGCCGAAGCGCGTCGTGCCCAAGCACATCCAGCGACCGGACTACGCCGATGACCGTGAGTCTTTTTAGCGCATCGCTGACGCCAGCGAACGGATTCAGCCCGTGCGAAGCCGTGCGCGAGCGCGGGATCAAGGTGCTCAACGCCGAGGAGATCGAGGGCATGCGCAAGGTGTGCCGGCTGAGCCGCGAGGTGTTGGACTACACAGCGTCCTTCATCCGGCCGGGAATCACGACGGACGAGCTCGACGCCATCTGCCACCAAGCATGCATCGACCGCGACTGCTACCCCTCGCCGCTGAACTACTCCAAGTTCCCCAAGTCGGTGTGCATCTCCGTGAACGAGGTCATCTGCCACGGCATCCCCGACCAGCGCCCGCTGCAGGAGGGTGACATCGTCAACCTCGATGTCTCCCTTTTCCACAACGGCTTCCACGGCGACTTGAACGCGACGTACCCAGTCGGCAAGGTCGACCAGGAGAGTCTCGACCTCATGGCCGCCACGAAGCGCTCGATGGAGGAGGCGATCAAGATCTGCAAGCCCGGCGTCGCGTACCGCGAGATCGGGAACAAGATCGAGGAGATCATCAAGCCGACCGGATACTCGATCGTGCGGCGGTACACGGGCCACGGGATCCACAACCTGTTCCACTGCGCGCCCAATATCGTGCACTACGGCAACTCGAAGATGCCTGGCCGCATGGAGGCCGGGCACGTGTTCACGATCGAGCCCATGATCAACCTCGGCACAGCTAACCTCGACCACTGGCGGGACGACTGGACGGCCGTGACGCTCGACGGGCGCCGCTCGGCCCAGTTCGAGGAGACCATCCTCATCACGGAGACGGGGCATGAGATCCTCACGCGCCTGAGTGCCAGCGCGAAGAAGAACAAGAAGAAGAAGGCCAAGAAGGCCGCCACCACTAACGGCCAGACCCCAGACGGCACCGACGCCGACACTCCCGGCACCGGCACCGCCACGCCCGCCGCCACCGACTGATCCCTGATCCGACCGTGTCATCGTCCGCATCATTGTCAGTAGTGCCATGCATATGCTAGATTGTACCATTACGCGCTGTCCTCAGGGATGGTCTTGAGCTGCTGTCAGCGATGCCGTCGGATATGGGCTCACCTGCAGCCCGTGGATCCCCTTGATCGTCTCCTTGAGGCATTCGTTGACGAGCTTGTGCTGCTTGACCATCGAGAGGCCCTTGAACGCCGGCGAAGATATCAAGATGGCGTAGAAGGAGCCGCAGCCACCTGGTGTCAGCGGAGGCGCGCAGTGGGCGGAGCCGTGAGACTGGTCGGAGGGCGAGAGAAGCATTGCCAAGGGCGGCAGTACAAGCACGCTCCAACGTTCGTGCCCTCCTCCACGAGCTCCACAGCCAGCGCAGACGGCACCGATGGTGGGGCTCGATGCGTCGCCACTGCATGCAGTGCGCCACGGATGATGGCAACTACACGCCACACCCTCACGCCACGGTGACTCACCAGATACATCCTGCACATCGAGCCGTGTGCCGGGGAACGCCTCGTCGAGCATCTTGTAGATGGCCGCCTCGCCCTCACCCATGTCGCTCCTTGGTGCCCGCGACGCATAGGTGCGGGCGAGGAGGGAGGGGGCAAAGCGGAGGGAGGACGAGGAGGCGGCGAGTGGCCGGGCGAGCGCGCGGAAGCGGAGGGCGGACATGGAGATGGACATGGTGGACGAAGCGATGGGCAAATCGGGATGCGGCGAAGTAAGCCAAAAGAGGGCGGGGTCATTTGGTGGGGTCTCCGCCGGAATCAATACACAAGCATGATAGAGGCCGAAGCGGAAGTGATGGTGAGCGCTGTGTTGAACGTTGAACTGCCTAGAATACATCTGTTACATCTATCACACGTCCCAGTCGTCGACCACCCCCATCCTGCTGTTAGAACAAGACAAGATCTCGCCCGAGCTCGTCGCGCACTCACACGTTGAAGTTCTTGACGACCATCATGATCTTCGCGCAGAATGCCTCGAGATGGAAGATCTTCTTAGACCCCTGGCGCATTCGCAGCTCGTAGTGTGCCGCCCAATGCACAATCTGAGGCTTGAGCTCGTTGTCGACGCGGTCGACAATGCGCTCGGCAATGGTCTGCTGTTAGTGGAACTACGCTGCTGGACGCACCTTCAGAACAACAGCTGGCGGAATGCAGTGCGACAGAAGCTCATAAAGCTTGCCGCGAACATCGAGGAGGCGCTGGGGGCTCTGCTCGCTCAGAATGCTGTCGGCCACCTTGACACAATAGGTCTCCCAGTCAGGCCGCGCCACATCGGCGCCGCCGCGCATATCCGGCTGCTGCATCCGCATGGCCTCGAGCACCAGCAGCGCCTTGCGCAGATTCCCATCCGAAGCACTCGTGATCTGTTCCGCCGCTGCAGATGGAAGGGCGAATCGTTCCTTCTTGGCCACATGGTTGAGCACCGCACCCATCTGCTCGTCGGTGGGTGCTGCGACGCGCACAAGTAGACAACGGGAGCGGATAGGGGCGATGATCTTGCTTGTAGACGTTGCGCACATGATCAGGCGCATATTGGTCATGTACTTCTCCATAGTGCGGCGCAATGCAGCCTGCGCGTCGCGTGTCAGCGCGTCCGCCTCGTTAATGATGACGACTGCTGTCAGCGGCGTAGGCGAAGTAAAGCTTCACCCTTGAACTTCTGCTTCGCATTCAGATCGACTTGCTGCGTCTGGGCAATCTCCTTGAGGATATCCTGGATTACGACGCGGTCGTACATACCAACGTCGCTCGGCGTTAGTTCAATGTGGTAGTTGGACTGGACCACGTTGACGTCAAGCTTGCGGTTCGATGGAGTGACAAAGACGCGCTGGTCGATTCGGAGCTTGGGTCAGTCATGCCTCCCACTGGGGAGCTCACCTTCTCCACGCCAGGCCCATACAGCTCGCGCAACGTCGCCATGATGCGTGTCTGGTATCAGCGTGCGTTGGATTGTGTAGCACACCTTCTTGCCGGCGCCTGATGGGCCGTAGAAGAGAATATGCGGAAAGTCACCCGACGCGGCCTATTGTCAGTCCATACAGCACAGCGCAGGGCTCACAAGTGACCGCAATCGCGAGGAGAGCTCCTCATGATACGATAGGTCGTCCAGCGTGCGCGGGCGATACTGGCGTCAGACATCATCAAAGCTGCGGCTCACCTTGTCAACCCAGAGCGACATGGTGATTGAAGGGAGGGTGCGACGCGATCAAGACGCGTAAAGGTGGAGAGTTAGCTGATAGCGCGGCGTGAGAGAGGGATAGACGCCAAGCTATGTCGGTGCAATCGGCGCTGGGAACGAGTCAGACGCGTCGATGTGGATGATGAGAGGAGTTGGAAGATGTAGATGTGAAGACAACTTGATCCAGTAACCCGACGCGTCTTCTGATATTGAGGCACGTCGTGCCTGGGGCCGCCTCCACGGTATCTTCCCGCTGAGACGCAACCTTCAACCCTCCAACTTTCCACTCTCTTCACAAAGCTGAGATGTGCTAGCATGGTCTCCTCGCCATCCTCGATTATCTCGCGCGTTCTTTCGCCGTCAAGCAGCGCGTCAAGTCCGAGTCTGCGCGCGCTCGAGCTCGAGCAGGGCCCGCTGGCACTCGAGCGCACCAACACGATCAGCACGCTCGGCGGGTTCGAGTTCGAGCATGCGTTGTTACCGCTCAGTTTGTCAGGGGAAGAACAACAGCAGGCGGAACATAAACATGTCGGGTTGCTGCAAGGTGTGGCGGGGAGGGGCCAGGCTGACTCCAGGCATGGCGCTCGTCGTCGGGATGCAGGTTGGCTCGGGTATCTTTGCGTCGCCTGGAGTTGTCGTCGACTCTGTGGGTAGCGTGGGCGCGAGCTTGGTCGTCTGGCTCGTATCCGGATTACTTGCATGGACGGGGGCCACGTGAGTGACTCGCTGGGAGAGCTGACCCCCAGGTCCTTCGCCGAGCTTGGGTGCGCCATCCCGCTCAGTGGCGGTGCGCAGGCCTACCTTGCCTACTCGGTGAGCTAGACCGCTACTCGGCTGACACCAGTTCGGTCCCCTCCTCTCGTATTTGTTCACCTGGTCAGCCGTGACGACGCTCAAGCCTGGCAGCGGTGCCATCATCGCCCTCATCTTCGGCGAGTATGTCAACCGCATGATTCACCAAGCCGTCACCGGCTCCTCGGAGGCCGTCGTGCCGGAGTGGACGTTCAAGGTAACCGCGTGTATTGCTGTTATCGTCATCAGCGCGCTCAATCTGATCTCGCCTAAAGCAGGGACACACAGTGCTGTCGTGCTGACCGCCATCAAGATCGGGAGCCTGATCTTTGTCGGCGTCCTCGGCCTCCTCTACTTGATCCGAAATGGGGCGGGTGAATCATTCGCCCGCGGCTCCGTCTTCAAGGGCTCCAGCACCAATCTGAGCGACTACGCTATCGCCCTCTACTCGGGACTGTGGGCTTTCGACGGATGGGACCAGTGCTCGTTTGTCGGCGGCGAGATGACCAACCCTGACCGCGATCTGCCCCGCGCTCTGCACAGCAGCATGACCATTGTGCTTATCCTCTTCCTCAGCGCGAATGTGAGCTACTTCATTGCCCTTCCGCCTGGGGTTGTGGCGAGCTCGAACACTGTCGCATTGGACTTTGGCCGCGCGACGATCGGCAAGCTGGGCAGCCTCGTATTCTCGACCCTCGTCGCGATTAGCTGCTTCGGCGCTCTCAACGGGTCGTTCTACACCAGTGAGCAACGCTATTTCGTGACTTACACTAGCCGCGCGCCTCATCTACGCCGCCGCGCGCGACCACTTCCTCCCCTCGGTATTTGCGAAGCTTGATGCGCGTCGGCGGACGCCTGACTACGCGTTGGCGTTGAATGCCGCCCTCACGGCATTCTTCATCATCTTCGGCGGCGGGTTCAGGAGTGAGCTTGCACTTTATCCCAGCTGACACTAGAACTCGTCAACTTCTTCTCGGTCACCAGCTGGACATGGTACCTCGTCACTGTCCTGGGACTGCTGTACCTGCGCATCAAAGAACCACACCTCGAGCGGCCATACAAAGCGTGGATCACCACGCCAATCATCTTCTGCATGGTAAGCCGAGCCCCGTACGGAATCTGACGCAGATCGCAATGTTTCTTCTACTCATGCCCATCTTCGCCGCGCCGTGGGAAGGCCTCGCCGCCTTCGGTAAGCTCCAGCTCTATCGCCGCTCACACCAGTGTTCATGGCCGCCGGCGTGCCGATGTACTACCTCACTGCGCGCTCGCGCTCGCGCCAAGCGCGGGGCTACAGCCGTGTCGAAGGCGTAGAGGAGGAGGGTGGGGTCGGCGCGACGCTGCGCGACGCTTACGCCGCGTTCCTCGACGACATCTCGCGCCTCCTCCCTGCGCGCTGGGCGGCGCGCCTCGGCCCCTCGGCGCCACCAGACCGCGAAGAACGGCGCGGGATGCTCGAGCGCGTCGAGATGGCAGAGCTCTAGACTACATGCATATTAGATTACAAGAAGGGTAGGCGGTCTTTGAGGGTGCGTGCGCCGAGCTCGTCCATCTCATCGCGCCCGATCCACATGTCCGCGACGACCAGGTCGAGGTTACACATGACGCTGGCGCCCTTCCAGCTCATGAACTTGGGGTTGAGGCCGCGCGGGGGCGGCACGATCGACACGTGGTCGATGGGATACCCGCGCTGCCTGAGGAGGGCGGGGAGGCGGTCGGCGATGAACGGCGCGAGGCCTTTGAGCGCACTCCCGCCGCCCACGAGGAGGATGGAAGATGCGGCTGTGCGCACCTTGTTGTCCGAGGACGTGGCGCTGATCGATGCGGCGATCGCGCCGTCCAGCGGCGTCTTGGACGCCTCGAAGACGACGTCGAACGCGGGCGGCTCGTCGCCCTCGGCGTCCGGCGCGGGCGTTGCGGCCGACGAATGCGCCGCCGTAGGCGGGGCGAGCGTCGCGGGTGCGGGCGTCGCGCTCTTCTCCGCTGGCGTCGTCGGCGCGCTCTTGCCGGGACTCACGGGGGCGGGCGGCGCCGGCGTGCTCGCGGTGCTCGGCGCCTCCGGCGCAGACGGGAGCAGGTGCGTCGTGCACGCGCGCATCGCCGCCGTCGCCTCGCCGTACGGGCTCTTGATCATGTCGCTCACGTCCGGGTTGACGACGGTGAAGCTCGTCTCGCGCTTCGTCTCAAAATCGATCATGCGCGTGTCGAACCAGCTCAGTGCCGCAAGCACGTTTTCGTCGTATGTCCGCAAAAGGTATTTGTTCGTCAAGCCCTTCTCGGGCACGACGTACAAGTCCCAGGGAGTGTTCGCGACGAGGTGCTCCTCGAGCGTCGCGAGCTTGATCTTGAGATTGTCCATCATGAGCCAGTCTTGCGTGCGTGCCAAGTTGAGGTTTTTGTACGGGAACGAGGCGCGCTGGAGCAGCGCGGCGAGGGCGACCGTCACGTCGTCCCCGCCGTACGAGAGGCGCATGCGCGTGTCGGGGTTCACCATGCCCTCCTCGACGAGCGTCACGCTGCTCGTCTGCGCGCCGATGTCCACGACGCACGCGCTGGACATGCCCGCGCTAAAGATCGCACAGTAGCTCTCCTGGTGTATCGCGATCTCTTTGAATCCCATGATGTTGAGCATGACGTTCGTCATTTGCTCGACGTACAGCCGGTCCCCGAAGTCTGGGACGACGAGCACGACACGATAGTCCTTGTAGTCCTTGGGGCGGATGCCAAGCTCTGTCCGTAGGCTTTCTTGGATAATAAGTGAAATGTCGTCGAGGAGGAGCTGGGGGCTGGCCCAGTCGCGCGAATTGAACCCTCGCTGGTGGATCGGGTACCGGACGCGGAAGCCCGCGCTGTCCGCCAGCCGCAGTGCCTCTGTGCCCACGACGAACGGACGCCCATCCACCTCGGTCCAGTCGACGCGGTACGGGTCGTTGTGCTCGGGAATGGGCTCAGGCTTGGCCTTTGCGTTCGCGGCGTTGACGCGCGCGCCGTCCCGCGCATCCGTGACGAGCTTGTTCGCCCGCAACTTGTTGCGCAAGTATTCGCGCAGGTGCCCGATGTTGTCGTCCATGTCGGCCACGCGCTTGCCGAGCACTGGTGGGTCGTGTCCACCCGGCGCGGAGGCCGGGCGCGCGATACAGTTCGGCACTTCGTGGGGATAGAAATCCGAGGCGCGGCCGAGGCGCAGATTGCGCGAGCCGGGGTGGATGATGAGAATGCGGCTGAGGCGGGCTTGCTGCGTGTCAGCAGGCTCCAGGCGCGAGCATGGCGAAGAAACCCACCTGCTCCTCCTTCCGCTTCTCCTCTTCCTCTTTGGCCGTGAGCACGACCTCATCCTTCACGTCGCCTCCGTTCGCCTCTGCGCCATTTGCCGCATGCGCGGCCTCCTCGGCCTGCACAGCCTCGCGCTCCTTTCTTCGCGCAAGCACGACCTGTCGCCGCACCTCGACGTTGCTCTCCTTCTGCAGGAAGTCGCCAGGCGGGTTCCGGATGTTGAGGAGATTGGGCACGAACGCGGTTGTGTGGGCTGTCAAGTGCTCGGCCTTGGGCTTGGGCTTGCGCCCCGACTTGCGCGCCGGCGCCGAGGGGCCTGCGACGGGCGCGGGGGCGTCCTCGGGAACGGGGGAGGAGGGGGCCGTCAAGTCCGTGATGTCCATGGTGGTTGGGTGGTTGCCCGATTGAATTGAGATTGTTGGTGGAAGTGTCAGTGGAGGTGTGAGCTGCCCCACTTTGACGAATCGTGCGGGGTACCCCACATGTGCGACTCACCACACATGAGAACACCGCGATGCAGCGAGCACCTCGAGGGAGCAGACTGGCCCACTAACAGTAAGAGAAGCCGAGGATGAAGAGACGACACTGTTGCCATACTGCCGATCTCCGGCTGTTGTAGTAATCGCGGACAGCTGGCCGTAGGCTTGCTCTGTCAGTGACCTCCCTTTCCCCACACGCCCCCGCCCCGTCGCTTGCACTACATCATCTGACACTCTACTCTAGTCTAGTTGTCGAGGAGCTGCTCGAGATCGCCCAGGCTCTCCATGACGAAAGTAGGCACGATCTCGGACGGGTTCTCGCCATACACCTCCTCCTTGTGCGTGACCCCGCCCATGACGAGCAGGGTGCGTACGTCCGAGTTGTTCCCGAACGCAATGTCCGTGAGGAGGTTGTCGCCGACCATGAGGGCGCGCTTGGGGTCGAAGTGGTGCTCGGCGATGATGGCGTCCATCATCGGCTTGTTCGGCTTGCCGATGACGGTGGGCTCGCGCTTGCCCTGGAGTGCAAAGACAAGGGGCGCCGAGAGCGAGCCGGACCCGACATACGTCGTGCCGTTCGTCGGGAACGTCTTGTCCTGGTTCGTGAGGAGGAAGTGCACCGACGGGTCGTCGCGGAGGTACGAGTACGCTTTGCACAGCTTCTTGTAGTCTGGTGTGAGCGGGTTCGCGCTGCACTCACTGATACCGCTGTCGAAGCCGCACAGCACCGCGCCAATCGTCGGATCAGGCTTGTACGCGCTAAAGTCCATGGAGGGGAGGAAGACGCGGTCCTCCGGGTCCGTGCCGCCCGTCCGCTTGATCCCCTTGGCATCGAGCTCGTCCTCGAGCCCCTTTTCGCCGAGGACGTACACGCGCTTGTCTTCGGGGAAGTTGAGCACTTCGCGCATATACACTGCGGACGCGTACGCGCTGCCGAAGATCTCGGCCTCGTCCACGGGGATGCCCAGCTTGTCAAACGTCTTCTTGTACATCGCGCGCGACTTTGTCGCGTTGTTCGTCACGAAGATGACCTTTTTGCCTGTGGTCAGCGCGGTGGCGCGCCCGCTCCGCGCACGCACCCGCATCCCGCATCATCTGCAGCACGCGTTTGACGCCTGGCACGACGACGGGCCCGTGGTAGATGACGCCGTCGCAGTCGAGGAGGAAGGTGTCCACGCTATCAAAGAGCGTCTTGTACTCGTCGCGCGAGCGCAGGAAAGGAGGCTTGCGCGCGGCGTTGGCATCGTTCGGAACGGTCATGGTGGAGTTGTGGTTGTTGATGACAGAGAGAGTTGGGGCGCCGAAATAGATTCCTCATCGGACCGGCTTTTCCGACCGCACCATTCATCATGAGCACGCAGGGCCCGCCCGCCGACGCGAAGCAGGCGCAGGCCGCCGCGCTGCATGAGATCGAGGCGGCGCAGCGCCGCAAGCGTGCCCTCGAGGTCAACCTTGTGCGTGCAGCTTGGCTTGGGAGCTCGCTGGATCGCTGCGTCGATGGGCGGGCGGGGGGAGGGGGGCAGCACAATTTTATCCGCTGACCACAGGCGACGATCGAGGCGACGATTTGGGCGCAGGAGGCAAGCTACCTCGAAGAGACGGCGGCCAGCGGCGGCAACATCATCAAGGTGGGATGCGGCGCGCTGCGGCGAGGGTCAAGGAGGGGTGATGCGTGGAGGCGGATGTGCGATTTGCCACCCACCAAACACCTCGTCGCGCCTTCCCTCTGCCCGGGTCTTCTGATCTTTCAAGTCACGGACGGAGCACTGACCCCAGGGCTTCGAGAACTACCTCAAGGCGCCGACGGTGACGTCGCACCATCGCAAGCGGAACGAGACGACCGAGGACGACAAGCTCTTCTCGGGCAGCAGCACGACGTTTACCCAGGTGAGATGATGCCGCGGGGGCGCTGACGGCAGACGATGAACCAGCAGCGCTAGGCGCGATGCCGATTGGGAGACGGTTGGCCGTGGGCGCGTCGCTTCGTGACGCCTCTGACGGCTCGGGGCACTTCGCGCCCGGTTGAGAGTGACAGAGCTGCGGCTTGGCGACACGGCACGCGCTTATAGTCTACATATATGTATTCATGTTCCCTGCTCAGAGAGGAGAGCACAGTTGTCGCCACTGCGAGATTCCACCGCTGTAATAAACGTATAGTGGCCGAAGACGCATATCTGCATGTCTGTGCCAGCTGGTTAGTCTCTTTCCTGACCACAAACAATTCGGACAACTGAGCAAGCTGATGAGCGCACGCTCTCCACTGTCGTCAGAGCGGCTCGCAGATCGCAGATGCCGTTCTGACGGCAGACTCGTGTGATCGTGTACTTTTGCGCACCCATCCCATCCTCCATCCCCAAAACCATCCTCCTCCTCCTTCTTCCTTGCCTCATTCGCTCATCACCCTGTTTCGGATCCAGGTGCACAGGTTCCATCTCGCAACCCCGCACCACGGGGCTCAACCTGCAAAAAGTATACAAGCGCACGCTTACGCCCAGGTCGAGGGGCGGTTGGCGGCGTACCAAGCCTTGGACTTGGTGAGGCGGTGGGGCAGAGGGAACTTGAGGTCCTTCTGGAGGAGCTGCTTCATGTAGGGGCGGCGGATGTCAACAGTCTTCTCGATCTCGGCGACACGGAGAATCTGGACGTCACGGAAGCGCGAGCGGTGGCGGGCGGCCATGTCCTGGTACATGGACTCGACGGCCTCGGCGCGCGAGAGGGCGCGGTACTCCTTGACCATGTTGTGGGTGCCCGAGCGCGAGTTGTAGCGGAGCCAGATGGCGAAGTTCTTCACCTTGAGGGGCTTCTTCTCCGAGATCTGTGGTGTGAGTTGGTGGGTCTCGCATAGGGGAAGCCGTGTGCGCATGGCACACGCCTATAGTACGCACGACGTTAAGGGCAACGATCTCGCCGTGGGCCTTCTTCGACTTCTTGAGCTGACGAAGGTAGTACCAGAAGCGCGACTTGGCGACAACGTCGTTGGGCGCAAAGATGCGCATGCGGCTGCGGGTTAGCGCGCGCGTTCTCGAAGCGGCAAGATCAAACGCACTAGAGCTTCGGCTCCGGCTCCTGCTCGGAGGGGAGCGAGCGCCCGACGACAGAGTACTCCTGGAAACGAGCCATTCTGAATGTTAGCGGATGTTCACACGAACTTGTCGGTGCCGCGCGCGCCTCCTCAGGACGCAACCTCGCGCGTGTCGGGCTAGGCAAAGGCGGGGGGAAGGTCGCCGAAGTTGGTACGCGCACAGAAGCGAGACGAGAGACGAGACAGACTCCGAGGCCTCCACGGTCGGGGTGGCTGGCGCAAGGCCAGCCTCGTAGCCCCGCCTCAACGAGAGCCACGGTCTCATCAGGACGCAGACATTGCCCCAGTTTCTCTTTCCTCGCCCGTCTCGTCTCGTCTGCGCCTTGTCCGGCGACAAATGTGCGCGCGCTCCACTCTGGCGAGATGTATCCGGCCCCGCCGTTCAAGTTGCCGTTGCCTGCCGATGCCAAGGGCGCGCGAGATAGAGGTAGTCCGAGGGCGTCGCGGGGTCGAGGTGTAGACGGTGGGCGCGCTACTCACTCGTCTATTTTCTTGCGGGATAGCGAACACGGAAGTGTTGACGATGGCGTCCGACCGGGCAGGGGAGCACCCACCGGCAGCCGGGGGAGGGCCACCCAAAACCAACGGCAGGATTCCCACGGTGCACTAACGGGTCCTCAGTTCTAAACTCCGATGCGAAAGTTTCGAGACTTTCAAAAGTTATTTGAGCTCCAAACTTGAGAAAGACTCACGTGATTTCCATGTGGCTACCTCGCGACCCGGTCTAGACCGAAATGTTTGGTGGTTGTGTCACGTTATTAGGGATTGGGGATTGGGGTATTGTGATCAAGCCAAATCCTAATCATTGAATTGAAACAGGCATGCTTTATTAGAAGGCAGACCAACATGTCTATCAGCTATCAGGGCCGAGGCGGCGGAAGGGAGGAGGGGCGCGAGGTCAATGCACGCGTCGAGTTTTGCCACCCAACCGGTGAGGAGACATCGGTGGACCCTCTGCACCCTCTGGTCCATCTCACCCAACCAGCCGAGGTGGTGGTTACCCTCGCACCGATCGGTCCACGCCAACGATCCAACGACGCCGGACAATGCTGCTTTGCTCTGCTCGTTGAACGCTCGAGCACTCATCTTCAAGCAGCACCTCTACTAGCTTTCTCAATCTCCATCTCTCTCTCTCTCTCTCGATTACCCTCGTTTATCTCAACCCCTCTCATCACGGGCACCGCGGTCACTGCGTTCAAGCTCAGGCCAAGCTTCCAACACCGGTCAAGTCAGAGCTCACGAGTCTCTGCATCTCGCGCATCCCTGCTCGCCTGCTCAGCCCATCGCCCATCGCCCATCGCCCACGTCCACGCCCATTTCCCGCCCTCATCCCTCCGTCCGTCACGGTCTAAAACCGCCTTCCGCCAAGCCGCCAGCCGGGCCGCCTGGCGCCAGTCACTCTCACTCCGTCACACTCTCACTTTCACTCGCTCTCTAGCCTCTCTCTAGACCCCTGCTTCTGCACTCGTGCACTCCGCGCACTCGTGCCCTCGTGATCATCACGCTCAAACGCCCCCCCCAACCTTCGCCCTCAATCTCCCATCCATCACGCTTCCCAGTTCAAACATTCATCAGCAGCACGCACGCCGTCACAACGTAAACATACGCATCATTCCGTCGCGTGCGTTCATAACGTTCCACAGTCAACCCAATCTATCACCTATCAACCACTCTCCCCACCCCTATCTCATATGAACACACGCTCTCAACAACATGGTGAGCTAGGCTTTTGGCGCCGTCGTCCGAAATCTACATCACCCCGGGCTCATTCCTTACTGACCTCCAGCCGCACCCCGTTAACGTTCCTCCGCCACTGTCTTCCTCGGTCTCCGATGTCGACCTCTTCCGCGCCATTGAGACAATCATGGGTCCAGAAAGCACCATCTGGGCCACCGACGTCCCTGACTGTATGTCTAAGCGTCCTTGCTTTGTCTCCGCTCACTCGCACCAGTGTTCAGCAAGATCCGCCAAGACCAGCACGGATTCGCCGTGCTGAACGACTCGCAGCTAAGACAACTTCGCGACGTCGTGAGCTCGGACAAGTACTCGACGATGGCATTGTCCTGCGAGGAAGTGTTCCAGATGCTCAAGTGAGTCGGAATCTGAAACGAATGACATGACCTAACCAGACAGGCACCTCCGCGGACATTCATCGACTCCGCCACCATCTGCTGACGTTGCTACGCCGACGGCTTCCAAGACCCAACGACGTAGATCGGCTAGAATCAGGTCATCATCGGATTCGTCGTCGACTGATGAGGACGACGAACAGACGCCATCGCGCTTGTCGTCATCCGCAACGGTCAAGCGCGCGGTTCCCCGCAGATCATTCCCTGACGAGTCGTCAACCTACATGCTTCCTTCAACAATTGCGACCTCGCCGGAAGGCGCCCTCCCACCCCGCGTGAAGAAGTTGTCCGATGCGTCCAACAAGTTTGAGCAGCGCAGTCGAGACGACCCACCAAGCTCCTACATGCCTCTGGGCAGGCGACCGCTGCCTCAGAGTCGTCGAAGCTCGGCCCAGTTCAGTGCCAGTGCGCGGAGCGACGATGGCCATGCGCCGTCCGACTACACGTACACGTACAAAACCCATGGCCGCAGCGTTAGCAGTGCCAGTGTAGTGTCACCGTCCTCAGCACGCTCTGCTGGCGCGGCGTCGCCAATATCAGCAAGCGGAGATGGCTACGCTTCTGATGACGAGGACCGGTGGAGGAGTAACAGCGCGTCCGTGGAGAGTGCCCTGGTGGGTCCCATGGCTCGGGCCACGCTGACAGCAGGACAAGATCAGAGACGCAGAGGAAGTGCAGCGGCTGAAGGAGGTTGTGGCAGAACTCAAGAATCGAATCAAGTCTCTCGAGCACGAGCGCGAGCTTGCACAGTGGGTGGGACTCATGACTATGCCTGACACGTTAGACAGACGCATGAGGACATGGTGGCCGATATCGAGACCCGGGCGGAGAATGAGAGGCAAGAACACGATAGCCGTGCCAAGGACCAGATGGCGCGCACAGAACAGAAGTACCGGACCGAGATTGAGGCCAAGGAGCAAGAGATTACCGAGATCAACGAGGCGCTCGATACCCTCTCTGCCAAGCTCGCCGACGTACAAGCCGCTCTCGAAAGCGAAAGGAGTGAGTATTCTGAGACGGGTAGCGTCGACTGGTGCTTACTACTCAGACCGTACGGCGGAGTTACGAGACACGGTAGAAGACCGCGAAAAGGATGTGGCGCATTTGCGCATGGAGCTGGAGATGTGGGGAGATCAGAAGCAACAAGTCGAGGACGAACTGGGCAGGCAGAATGCTCATGCTGCCGAGTTACAAGAGCGACTGGACGCAGCGCGTGATCTTGAAGGACGACTGGCGGCGAAGAAGGCAGAGGTCGACATGCTCAAGTCGACGGTCCTAGACATGGATAAACAACTATCGGACCTCAAAGGCGGAAACGGATATGGCGGAGGCGGGATTGCCTCAGCTGGGCCCGCCACATTAACTCGCAACGGTGGCAACCAGCTCAGTACCGAGCTCCAGACCGGTGATGGGCCCCAAGGGCAGAAGACTGTGTTCGTCGAAACTGTTGTAACGCGGACTATTCGAGAAGGCGATGGCTCAACCATGTCGACATACAAGAATGTGGCTACAGGGACCGAGCCCATCGATATTCTCAATGATCCCGACTTTGAGGAGGAGCGCGAAATTCTACGCCGCCAAGGAGCTGCCAACGCTGAGCCCGACGGAGCAAGGACTCCGGTCCAGCCCCGCGCAACTCTGGCGGAGGAGGCGTTACGCTCTCCGCCAGCGTACTCTGCCGCCCCTGGCCCACTGGATGCCGATGCGCTCGTTAAACACATGCATCCTCCAGTCCCTAGGGGGACCGTACGGCACAACGAGGATCTCCAGAAAGCCTACGACCTCGTGTCCAAGGCCACCGGCAAGCGGTGCCACGTTATTGAGGAAGAACTGGAAGCCGACGACATAATGCGAGACAAACATGATGGGTACGAGGCCAAGCCGAGCATGGTCGGGCGGGTGTTCAACTGGGCATCTGCTATTGGGCTAGCGCATTTTGGCGGCCTAATTATTCGTAAGTCGTCCTCTTTGTGTAGACATGACCGCTGGCTAACGCCAGTTACCGTACTCGCCACGCAAGCACTAGGACCACCACAGCGCGATCCGTACGACTCGTTTGCGTACAACGGCTACGTGTCGTGGTTTGACCACACGGCGGCGATGGCGCGGGCGGGGCGTGTACCAACCTAGGCGATGATCGACTGGACGACTTGTATGACGTCCTCATGACTGAACGACACGGAATGTTCTCGACTCGATACATGCCCTTGTTTTACTAGTGTATACTATGGTTTTTAGATTGGTATACCCATGCGTGAGCATGTACATTCACCTCTGCGAAAAAGGGTGGAACCAAACAAACGGAGTGCGGAGTTGGAAGAACCTCCGCCAGGAACATGGCAAATGCTTCCGAGATGACTGGGCTTGACGCGTCGCGCCTTCTTCGCGTCGTGTTTGATTTCGATACTCCACCGCCGCAATGTTCAAGCCCACCGTCCGCGTCAAGGCCGAGGGCGATGTCAAAGTGCACAAGCGCGGCGCACCAAGCTCACGGTATCCTCACCGACTAAACTTGTGCGTCTCCCACGTTCGCATCTGACCGCAGCTATGACAACCCCCCAACACTAGACATCACACTAGACGAGTTCGAAACAGCGGCGCTCACGCGCCTCCGCGTCCTGACCTACCTCGAGGCGCTTTCGCAGCGCTCGCTTCCTCCGGCCCAGCTCTCCTCCACCCTCGCCGCTTACCTCAAACAACACCTTCCGTTATCCTCAAACACGGCGCGCTCGGCAGACCTAGAAGCCGAGCGGCGCCTCGACGCGATCGGACACTGGGTGCTGCGCCTGTCGTTCGCGCGCTCGCCAGAGCTGCGCGCGCGCTTTGTCCGCGCCGAGACCGCGCTCTTCAAACACCGGTTCGAGACTGACGACGCGGCTGAGCGCGCACACTTCCTCGCGTCCCTCCAGTTGGCATGGGACACGGTTGGCGACACCGAGAAGAGCCACTTTGCGCGCGAGCTCCGCGCCACGATGTGGTGGGCGAAGGAGGACGCGTTCGCTGCCGAAACATGGTTCAAGGTCCCGTGGGCGTCGGTGCCGGATCTCGTGGCGCAGCGGCGCGTGTTCGTGCGCAAGGGCATGGCGTATGTCCCGCAGAGCATGCAGATCAGTCTTGTGCTGCAGGCGTTTTCGGCGCGGCTCGAGGCGGCGCTCGAGGTGAGTTTGGACTCGTTGCGCCCTTGGCATACCCCGCGCGGCGGTGCTGACGCCAGCTCACGGCTAAAAATCTGCCACGGCTGGACGAAGACGAGCGGCTCGCGCCCGTCATCGACCACCTTGCGTCGTCGTTCCTCTCGGGCCTCGCGGGCGCCGAGTTCACACCCTCCGACTCAACAGCCCTTGTCACGGCCGAAATGGTCGACGACGTCGCGCGCAAGCACTTCCCGCCATGCATGCTGAACCTCTACGAGCGGCTCAAGCGCGACCACCACCTGAAGCACTTTGGGCGGCTGCAGCTCGGCCTCTTTTTGAAGGTACGTGGACACGTAGACTCCATGCCCGCTAACATACAGGGCATCGGGCTGCCGCTCGACGAAGCCCTCGTCTTCTGGCGCCGGATGTACGGCGCCGCCATGTCGGACGACAAGTTCAACAAAGAGTACCGGTACAACATCCGGCACAGCTACGGGCAAGAGGGCCGGCGCGCAAACTACCCGCCGCGCAGCTGCCAACAGATCCTGACGTCGCACCAGCCGGGCACGCAGGACGCGCACGGCTGCCCGTTCCGCCACTTCGGGCCAGACAACCTCCAGACACTGCTCGCGTCGTACCGCATCGAGCGCGGCAGCGCCGAGATGAAGGACATCATGGACAGCGTCAAGGCGAGCGCGTACCATGTCGCGTGCACGCGGCTGTTTGAGGTCACGCGGGGGATCAAGCGCGGCGAGGGCGTCGGCGGGGGCGAGAGCGTCACGCACCCGAACACGTTTACGAAGCGGAGCCAGGAGATCGAGAGCGAGCGGTTGGAGGCGGCCAAGGCGTAGGCTGTATGTATATTTTTAGCGGGGCTGGTGTTCAGGCGGCCACCTGTCGGGAGGCATATTGACACAAAGGCCTGTTCCCAGCACATGAGACAGCCACAGCATGCCCGCCCCGCATACACATCCCACACCCGCCCACTTGCGCCAAGCTCTATGTCGATACATGTCTACAACAGTCTACCCTACACCATCCTTGGCTGCGCGACCTCGGCCGTCTCCGCGGGCGCGCCCAGGGCGTCCGTCACGCCCGAGCTCTGGAGGAACTGCGCCCACTTGGGCTCGACGAAAATCGCCGTGGCATCAGCCAGCCGCTCGCCGTCGAGCGTCTCCATCGAGCCGGACACGACGACCTTGCGGCCCTTCTTGGCGTCGAGGCGCGTGCGCACAACCACAAACTGGTCCGCCATGCACGGGCTGCGGTAGTTGATGTTGAGGTTGGCGGTCACGCCGATGTGCGTGGGGATGTTCATGAGCGCGTTGCGCGCGAGCGTCTCGTCGAACACGGTGGCGAGCAGGCCGCCGTGGATGATCCCGTCGTGCCCGCACAGCGAGCGGCCGAGGTGCAGCACCACGACGCCCGCGCTCTCGTCGTTCTTCGCGAACGCGATGGGGGGCACGGCGAGCTTGCCGGGTCCCCGGAGAGAGCCGGCGGTCAGCGAGTTGTGGATCTTGTTCGGGTCGTATTTCTCGTATGGGCCTGGGGTTAGACGTGGCTTGGAGGACAGGCAATGAGGCTGCATTGTCGATCCAGGCGAGGTGGGACAGGAGGTCTGAAGGTGGCGCCGCATGACGGCAGCCAACATTACGGCCGGGCCGGTGCGCGGCTGACCGCCAGGCACGTCGGCAGCAGCCGCATTTTCACCCCAGTTGGGCGATCATGTCGAGCACGACTGGACGCCGTCGTCCCCGGCTTCGAGTCCGTTGGCCATGTAGCTCCCTCCACCCCGGTCCTCGGCCCGGCCCTCGGCCCTCGCTAACTCACGGCTCTCGTACCACTCCCCCAGCTGCCGCATCTCAGCGACCACCGCGAGCTCCTGCAGCTCGCGCTCGATCTCGGCCGTGATCTCCTTGCCGATCTTGCTCTCGCGGTCGGGCGGCGGGGGCGAGTAGCGGGGCGAAAACATGAGGGCGAGATTGGGCGGGTTGACTGCGCCGACGAAGTATGCGACGGGGACGGCGATGGCGGCGGCTGGGGTGAGCGGATGCGAGAG